AAAAAAAAAAAAAAAAAAAAAAATGCCCCCAAAGAGAATGTATGGGGTATAAATGTCAAATCACATAATCACCCCAAAAAAATTAGTAGTTGCTTGGGCGAGGGGTCTTAATCGACGGTCCAAATGTCAGCCCGTTTCGTATAAAAACCCCTCCTCCCTATTGCTCATTTACTCACTTTTTTTTCCAACTCTCTCTCATTTTATCTCTGTAGCCATGTCTTGCTACCGTGGAAAGTACGCTGGTAATTTTTCTTTCTTTTATTCTTTTTAGCTTAATTTTTCATCGAAATTTGAATTGTGTTGTTTAATTCAATCGTGTATTATGCACTAGATACTGGCTTCGTTTGATCTGGAATTGATTTCATTTTTTTTTTTTTTGTTTTATGTTATTTGGTTAATCATCGTCAGAGATCTGGAATCCTCTGTTTTTTTTTTTTTCTGTTTGATTTTGTAATTTTTTTCTGATTTGATGTATTGTGAAATGAAGTTTGATTAGCTGTGTTGATCATGCTCGTTGTCGTTGTTAGAGATTCAGATGATTTTTATTGGGTTCAATCGCCATGTCCGATTGAAGCTTATAGTTCTGCGCTACAGAGTGATTATGAATGATTCCGAGCTTCTCTTTGAGCCTATTTCTTAATTATCTATATTCTGTTTGGTAATCAGGATTAGATCCATCTGTATTATCACGAGCTTCGCTGTGAGGTGTGCTGTGTTGTATTGTAAAATTGGATCCTAAAATGAATTTTGCACCTGCACATAGTTAATTAATGTTTGTGTTCATTTGTTAAATCAATACGGGTACACCATTTACTTGATGCTTAAGCACCCGTGAGTGGGTTTTGCCTGATAAATTCTGGGTTATGTTGTAAATCTGATTCTAGAATGCATTTTGCACTAGCACATAATTGATGTTGTTTAGGCCATTTGCTTAATCTCTGAGAACATTATGTTTCAATGGTGTAATGAAATTATTGGGGAAATAATGTACTGTTGTAAACTTATTCACTTAGATCCTTTACCCTTTTTATGTCTGCAGATGAACTTATTGCCAATGCTAAATACATCGGCACCCCTGGAAAAGGTATTCTTGCTGCCGATGAATCCACCGGCACTATTGGCAAGCGCCTCTCGAGCATCAATGTTGAAAACAACGAGTCGAACAGGCGAGCTCTCCGTGAGCTTCTATTCACCACTCCCGGTGCTCTTCAGTATCTGAGTGGAGTCATCCTTTTCGAGGAAACTCTCTTCCAGAAAACAGCTGCAGGTGTATATAGATGTATATTATTGTAGAGTAATTTATATGATTTTATTCGTGTCTGATAAACTACAAATTTTGTTTCGATCTTTTGCAGGTAAACCATTTGTCGATGTCCTGAAAGAAGGCGGGGTCCTCCCGGGCATCAAGGTCGACAAAGGTACGGTCGAGCTCGCTGGAACCAACGGTGAGACCACCACCCAAGGCCTCGACGGGCTCGCCCAGCGCTGCCAGCAGTACTATACGGCCGGGGCCCGCTTCGCCA